GTCATACCTCAGACATAGTTCGGTACCCTGGTTCAACTGCTAACCGTAACCTCAGGACATCCAACGGGTATGTTACCTACATGGAGGAAAATAGTATATCTTTGAATAGTTCCACATAACAGGTAGAATGAAAATAAGTTAGATGAACGACAAGAGGGCAAAAATATAAAAAACTATCCACGAAGTAGACTTCATAAGTAAAATACGAGGGTTCACGTGTTCCTAGGAACACTACCCACCCAGACAAACCATTTTAAGCTTAAGAGGAAAACACTCATGAACCAAAAATGTCACAACACAAATGCATTACTCACAAAAGTGGATGTCATGCCAGCACAAGCACCTGCTGCAAGTCTTCCAACAAGAGAGAGCTCACCATCTTTCCCCCTAAAGAGTTTCTTCAAATTCAAGAAAAAGAGCTTTAGTTCTGGATACATGGAATGCTGCAGAAAAATTTTCTTCAAAAGGGTTTCAAAATTACCTTATAAGCTTCATACGCAAAAAGCTGGACAGCACTATAAGGGATAATCCTTATGACCTAAACAATTAAAAGAATTTTCAAAATTAATGCAACACAAGAAACGCCCTACTTTATAGCAGGGGCAAGTAATATTTTGTAACACAATAGGAAACTTCATCAGCAGAAAACCTGAGGAAGGTTGCCTTTCCAGTACCCTTTAATCCCTTCTTCCTTCCCTATCATTGTTATGGCCTGCAGGGTATGCATCATCATTAAACATGAAGAGGTGGTCATATAGCATGATGTCAAATTCTTCTAAAAGAAAATTGAACATAATTTTTTTTTTTTTAAACCATAAATTATGCATCTCTGTGAAAAGATCATAAATCTCCATAAGTCATCATATATGTAAGCCATAAAACCATTATTGGAAAAACTAACGAGCAGTGATAAAGCTGAATAGATTTATTTTTTAATCAAACTTTGTCAACAGTTCAAGTCTACAACCTCTGTTTCACAGCCCATATGATTGTAAGACAAATGCATATAATTTATGATGTCAAAAACTGGGCAAAGCGGAGGATGGGTGAACCATTACATACCTCGAGAAAACTGATAACTTTCTTAGCGCTTTGTTGCCCAACTCGAATCCCATGAGTCTGCAGATATATCAACCTTTCTTTAGACTACTGAACAGTTACACTTACAATTGAGGTACTATTTAATTTAGTGGGATAACAATAATGCAGAATACTATTTGCCAGACAACAAGTATGAATATGTCTTGACAAGGAGCTAAAAAATATACCATAGAAGGACTGGAAAAGCACAGTGTAATAAACCCAGTAAGCCTAATAACAAAAACTGGATTTTTAAAAAAATCCAGAATCAGAAACAATTGCATTTCTTGTAGCAAAAGAAAACGCCCAGAAATAATTTTTAAAATTTCTGGAGTGATGCTGGTCACAACATAGCAAGCTACCTAAAATTCTCATTTCTGTGTTATTTTCTCAACCAGCATAATGGAAAGCCAAGATTTATCAACGGAAATAAAAACACTGAATTTCGTAATATCAATGCCTTCTCGGTTTCCTGAAAGTAAATTTTGAACATTCACTTTATGTTTTCATAGTAATTAACCAAAAATAAAGGGAAGCACAATGTTCTACAGATACGTCGCCGTATGCAACCATTTCGAGCTATAAAATTGCGAGAAATGTGACAAAATTCAAAGGTATAGAGTATAGAGGGAGTCAATGAGCACCTGCATAAGAATCTTGATGCGGTCGAGCGGAGCCGTGACGGTCTTGGCGGCGGCTCCAGCGACGGCTCCGGCGGCAAAGAGCGCGGCGTCTTTGGGAACGCAAGCGAGTATGGCCAGCGGATGCTTCACCAGCTGAGCCGAGGTCGGGGCGAATTCATTTCTCCGCTCTACCCTCTCCACCACCGAAACGCAGGCGAAATTACAACGAATGCCACTCCCACCACCACCAGTGAAGCTGAGCTGCGTGGTCTTCCATAACGGCTCGAGCTCCGCAGCCTCAGTGAGGGCGCAGTGAGAGGCGTTTAGGCTCGGAATGCTCCGCCAGGAGATAATGGGCTTGGATTCTCCGGTCATGGATTGGGGGAATTTTGAACGCTGAGAGCGGAGGTGAAGAGATAAGGCAGCGAGGGAGGTAGCTGTGCTGTTGCAGAGAAAGATAGAGAGCAGAGGACACGGGAAGGCACTTTTGTTCAAGCAGGCGGGTACATTATTTGCTAATTTTGTACGAAGTGCGTGTGATTCACCATCCATATTTCTCAAAAGGGCTTGGGCCCCACTTTTTTTAATCAAATGGGGTTTCGCTGTTTTACACTAATATACTTTTTTTTTCTTTTTTATTTATTGTTAGGAGACTCAAAATTTAAAATGGGAATAATAATTAGTATTTTTTTCGATTTTCTTAAAAAAAATTTCGTTGCTAATGTCATCACTCAGCCCTCAGGCAACAGTTCGTGTTGTTCTTGCCTTCGAGTCTGCCAGGGCTTGGTGGAGCCCAAGCCTGCCTGGGTTGTTTTGTACCGTTGGAGCTGTATTTCTTGGCTTGGGGGGGTCTTGTGCCCGAGCTAGGGCCTCCTGGTGGAAATGCTCTAACGGCGAAATCACATTTTAACAAATTTAAAAGACTGGGGGTATGTTATTGTAAAAACTGAGAAGGTATGGATTGACATGTCTTAAGGATATAATCATAGGGTACTAAACTGTCATTAACCATTTATTTTATTTTAGGGTTGACAAGGAAAGTTCTATTAGTTATAGCTTTTTAACTTTAATATTGAATCAAAATATAAGCATGACTTGGCTTCTTAAAATTGAGGAGGAGCTCCTCCTTACAACCAATGGGTTTTTGACATTTGTCAAATTTTAGCAACATTGACAAAGTTTCAAAAATAATTTAACATGTGTCAAAACCACATTGGTTGTATCGAGTAGCTCCTCTTCAATATGAAGGAGCCAAGTTTTTTCTTAAATTAAACTAGCCCGTTGGCAATCGGTTTTATTTTTTATTTTTTTATTTTAGAATTAAAAAAGATAATGGGTAGTTGTGTTCCATAAAAATAGAACTTATTATCTGATTTTAATTTTAAATTTAAATTTTTTAATATGAAAAAGTATGAATTTACCATATTATCCTCATTTAATTAATAATTTCAATTTTGAATATTTATGTTAATCAAGGGCATTTCTAGTATTTTGAATGTTTCACCATTCTTTGCCTTTTGCTATATATATATATAGATAAGTCAAAATTTAAAATGGGAATAATAATTAGTATTTTTTTCGATTTTCTTAAAAAAAAAATTCGTTGCTAATGTCATCACTCAGCCCTCAGGCAACAGTTTGTGTTGTTCTTGCCTTCGAGTCTGCCAGGGCTTGGTGGAGCCCAAGCCTGCCTGGGTTGTTTTGTATCGTTGGAGCTGTATTTCTTAGCTTGGGGGGTCTTGTGCCCGAGCTAGGGCCTTCCGGTGGAAATGCTCTAACGGCGAAACCACATTTAACAAATTTAAAAGACCAGGGGTATGTTATTGTAAAAATTGAGAAGGTATGGATTGACATGTCTTAAGGGTATAACCACAGGGTACTAAACTGTCATTAACCATTTATTTTATTTTAGGGTTGACAAGGAAAGTTCTATTAGTTATAGCTTTTTAACTTTAATATTGAAATAAGCATGACTTGGCTTCTTAAAATTGAGGAAGAGCTCCTCCTTACAACCAATGGGTTTTTGACATTTGTCAAATTTTAGCAACATTGACAAAGTTTCAAAAATAATTTAACATGTGTCAAAACCACATTGGTTGTATCGAGTAGCTCCTCTTCAATATGAAGGAGCCAAGTTTTTTCTTAAATTAAACTAGCCCGTTGGCAATCGGTTTTATTTTTTATTTTTTTATTTTAGAATTAAAAAAGATAATGGGTAGTTGTGTTCCATAAAAATAGAACTTATTATCTGATTTTAATTTTAAATTTAAATTTTTTAATATGAAAAAGTATGAATTTACCATATTATCCTCATTTAATTAATAATTTCAATTTTGAATATTTATGTTAATCAAGGGCATTTCTGGTATTTTGAATGTTTCACCATTCTTTGCCTTTTGCTATATATATAGATAAGTAACTAGAACTGACAAGTGTTGCCTCATAACAATAATCTGAGAGAGATACATAGAGGATGGAATGGAAGAATATTTGAGAGAATTAAAAATCGAATAATAAAAAAAGGAGCCAAAGGGTTAATCTAGCTGAAAATGTGACCCAACCAATAGGGAAGCCCAAGGCCCAAGCCCAACTTCACTTACTCAGTTGAAAAATGAGTGAAAGCTACGGCCCAAGTTCATTAATATTCTGGGTTGACCCGAACCATGGCTCAATGGGTTGCCAGGCTAATCCGAATCATGTTCTTTTTTCTTTTCTTTTTTGGGGAAATCTGAGCATGTTTTCCAGACATGAAGTAGTTTTAGACTGTACAATGCTTCCATTTTGTTGATTTGCCACTAGGGTTTAGGGTTCCTATGGAAACCTTTGTAAAAATTCCATTGACTTTGACTGTCTGCTAAAAGGTAAGCATTGGCCCCTTGTTTCGCTTTATTTTCCTTTATGCTGATTTTACTTTTTGCTTGGTTTTGGTCCTTTTCTCAAGAGAATTTGAGACTCGCCAATTTAAGGCTCGTTTGATAATTATTTTATTTTTAGTTTTTAGTTTTTAGTTTTTATTTTTTAGTTTTTGCGCTAGAATATAGAGGAAAATGATAGTGAAAATGGAAGTGAGGATGAGATTGAGAGAGAGAATGGGAGAGGAAAGAGAGTGAGAATGGAAGTTGCAAAACCCAAACCAACAAATTCTCCATTATTAATTCTTTATTATTACATAACAAAAAAGCAAAGAAATCAAGCCTCTATGCCATGTATGACACAAGCTCTACTGGCATTTGTAAGAAGAAATAAAAAAATCAGATGGAAAAACAAATCTGATTCATATATAGTACTAGCTATACACATATATGACTGATTCTGTAGCCTGTCCTCATCAAGCTTCAACAAGACCCAACTCTTTTCATCAAGTATCCCATGCTGGACAAGCAGATCAATGAAAAATGTTCGCTTTCGGACCGGCTATGGCACCAATCAAATTTGATGAATAACAAAGGCATGCAGCCAACAACAGCAGGGCTGTAATAATACTCAGGAGGTGGCCCTTGAAAGGCCAAACACCTGCATCAAAATCAATCAGTTAAGTAATAATTCATGTCTTGACTCAATTAAGTTGCTAGCAGAAATGTAAATACATATATATATATATATATATATGCATTCAAAAGTGCTGTACAAACGAACTTACATTTTTAATTAAGCTCCAAAAACTGCTTCGTTTGATGTTTTAAGTCCCACGTTGACGATGTTCGAGTGATCTACGGGCGAAAAAGTTTATGTTTTAGATTTTTTTGTAAGTTGTTACATTAACCAGGAAACAAGGTTTTTAGTTTAGTACTTACGAAGGGGAGATTCGGTTACAAAAAAGCAGGCTCCAATAATAATGTAGCACAGCAGAAGAACCAATCCCTTGAGGTAGTGGGAAGTACCATCCTATAAATATTAAATCAAGCAAAAGTGAGATTAAGGGTATGATTAGCAATCTTAATTGAGACTGAAGGATAATGATGATGTTTTTGATGAGGTAAGATTAGCAATCTTAATTAATTACCTGTAAAGTGAAGGCTACAGCAAGGATTGATAAAGCTAAAGAGCCAGTCTCAATGACACTGAAATTGAGATCCATGTTAATTCCCATTATCCAAGCAATAATCACGCACGATGGAACCTGCAGATTCATTCATTTCAATGGCATTTGAGTTGCAAATCTTCCAACATTAATTATATATGTTCTTATAGACTATAGTTGTTGTTCTTACCACAAACAAGGCAATTTGAGTTGCAGATCCCAAAGCAACACCCAACGTTATATCCTGCATAAAATACATATATATTTTTTTAAATGGAAAGATCTTGTGTTTAGAAATGCGATTAGAAGCTAATGTGATCGTTAATTAATCACTCACCAACTTGTTCTTGAAAGCGAATATGACTGCTCCTGCATGTTCTGCTGCATTGCCAACAATAGGTAGCAAGATTATGCTGATGAAGCTCACAGACAAGCCCCAAGAATCTGATGCTTCCTGATGAAAAAGTAGTGATTTCTATGAGTACCAAAATAAACAAAATGGGGTTATGTTTCAATCAAGGTGGCCAGATTATATATTTACCTCAATTGTTCCCACAACATACTCAGACAACAAGGCAATCACTGCAGTCATTCCAATCAGCCACACAATCCCACTCCAGAATCCAATCACAGGTGCTTCTTCCGAAACAACACCATCATCGTCCGATTCCTGATCAATACCACCACATTAAATTGCCTCTAAGTTAGCAATTAACACAGATAAATGCTGCCATAAAATTCCCAATAATTTATCTTCCAAGTCTTGCATTAATGTTCTCTTGTCAGACTTATGTTGCTAGACAACGAATCAAACCACTTATATTCATAAAAGAATCTTGCATTAATTACCTCCTGAGCTTCAAATAATTCACGGTGTGTCCACAACTGGAAGACAATGTATGCAGTATAAGCTATGAGCATAACAATGCTGCTGGCTCTGGACAAATGGAGGGAAGGGTCTGATGTCACACTAGCAGAGGCTCCTGTAGCAAACGTGAACAGCATTGGCAGCAAGTGACACAAAAGTGCCAGCAGCAACATGAGGGAGTTCACATCCGCTTGTCTCTGTTTGGACAACACGCAAATAAACAAACAACATATTAGATAGGCATGAAATGAAACCAACAGTATCCAGGATAAGGATAACTTGATAATGGGCAGTGATATTTGTTTGTCCAGAGTCATGAACTTACTCTGTCATATTTCTGTTCTCTTCTGATGTTGGCAATGCCACCGCAAAAGAGAGAAGTGCCGAGGACTAAGAGAAGGTTTGAGAGAATGGACCCCAGCAGAGAGTACTTCACAACTGCTATCTTATGTTGAGCTAGAGCAAAGATTGCAATAATTAGCTCCGTGGCATTTCCACATGTCGCATTTAGAAGCCCTCCCACTGAAAAAACAAATGTATAAGAAATAAATTCATCAATCATGTCACGTACGGTATGTGACAAAAAGTTAAATGAATAAATAAGAAATAATTGAATTACCTGTTGGACCGGTGTAAAAAGAAATTTGCCTGCAATTTTGGGGGAAAAAAAAAGAAAAACCAAAATTTAGTGTACGCCCAAATGGAAATTGTACTAACTATAAGTACTAATATATAATGAAGAGTCAAAAAAATTGGACTTACTCAGTCAGAAAGCTGACCCGTTCTGCCAGTGGCATAAGCCCAATTAAGCTCAGCGCAAACACCCAAGGCTGTTTAAGAGAAATAATCACAACGGTTACGATCAAAGGATTTCTATTAACAATTTTCCTTTCTAAAGCAATTTTCTTCACAAGACATTTTACACTGCGTTGTCGTATTTCAGTATCATATTATAAATTTCTCCAACTTATATACGTATACATGGTAGGTATTAATAATTGTAAGTAATTTTTTTTAAATGTTTTTTTTCCACTGTTATATTGAAAAAAACCTAGCAAGGAGTTGGTACTCACTCTTGCAAAACCAAAACACTGAGCCACAATTGCCAGTGGGATGGCTGGGAATAAAACGGAGAGTTTTGTCCCCAGCATAACCTCCTGCAAATTCGTCAAAAACTGTCTAAGGAGAGAGCATGGAATTTTGGAGACAAGGGTGAGGTCAGACTTCTTCCGCAGGGAAGAGGATGACATGTTGTGCGCGGTCCGACCGGTCCGGTTCTCCTTACTTAAGCCCTTGAGGTTGCCATTTTCTAATAGCCATGGCTGTTCTTGGTTTGAAGCCATGACCGATGATGTGATTGCACAAAGCACAAAAACCTAGCGACCCAAAAAAACAGAGAGAGAAGATTTTGTGGAACAAAGTTGCTTGCCAATGTAACAGGATGACAAGCTCGATATTACCTATTGAGAGATGAAGTGGAGTGACAAGTCATATACAGTATAAATAGCCTGGGCGTGCGGCGGATGATATTTTGCCACACTAATATATTCCGTAGCTTCCTCGAAGTTTCGTTCTTTTGTTTTTAGCCATCAGCAGGTTTAACAAGACACGTACGTATTTTCCAAAATAAGTATTAAGAAATATAAATATATTATACATGTGTATATACGACAAAGCCAACTTTCTTTTTTCTGATTTTTCTTTTCCAACTACACAAGTTAGTAAATGATAAGACTAGTTCGGTGTCTAGATTGGATTGGATAACTCATTAGATTTAATGTATTTTAAAATATATAGAAAATAAACATAGAAGTGAATGATTTTTCATTTTCGGAATTAGAAATGATAAGTTATAAACTTTGTTATCCTACCATTTTGGAGAATTGAATTAAATAAATCTCCTTTATAAGTAATCCATCTTCAATGTAACTTGGACAAAAATTATTCATCTTTGAAAAAAAAAACAAAACAGAGATGATCAGAAACCAACAAATGATTTGGTGCCGTGACATAATTAATTAGGTATTTGGTATAAGGAAGAACCAAAATCTAAATGGTAGGTACGTAGTTGTTTTCTGTAAAGTTATTATATTTCTTTGACCATCGGTGACTACTTATTCAAAGATTGTAACAGGTATTCTCCAGGTGAGGAAAAAAGAAACTGTAAATTCTTGTCATCCTGCGTAGTATGAAATTCTTTTTTTTATTTTTACTTTTGTTTTTGTTGGCGTGGCGGCATTCGTAGCTAAATATACAATATTTAAGCATGTTCCGTACGTGAGGAAGAAAGAAACTGTATATTTGACTGACGCTTGTACTTGTTGTGCGGTCCTGGAAAGAACAGGCAAAACCAAGCAGAGTCAAACGAAAGTTACATAAAAAACCCACTTGGAACAGTAAAAATCATGACGTTTTTGTTTTTTTTAAAATAATTATTTTAAACCACGTAAACAAATAGCAATTATGAGCATGAAAACAAAGGAACGAGAAAGTAGATTGATGGGGATGATGAAGACATTCTGCATTATGTGCAGCCAAGGCAAAGCACGCCACGCGTAAACATATATATATATATATATATATATATATATATATATATATATATATATATATATATATATATATATATATATATATATATATATATATATATATATATATATATATATATATATATATATATATATATATATATATATATATATATATATATATATATATATATATATATATATATATATATATATATATATATATATATATATATATATATATATATATATATATATATATATATATATATATATATATATATATATATATATATATATATATATATATATATATATATATATATATATATATATATATATATATATATATATATATATATATATATATATATATATATATATATATATATATATATATATATATATATATATATATATATATATATATATATATATATATATATATATATATATATATATATATATATATATATATATATATATATATATATATATATATATATATATATATATATATATATATATATATATATATATATATATATATATATATATATATATATATATATATAATAAAATAAAACACAATAATAAGTGAGGAGAAGTAGGTATACACTTTGCCCAACCTACTCAAAATATACAGAGGAACCTTCGCAGAAGCTACTTGATCGGGCTCATATCAATGTATGTACTTGATCGGTCGCATATCAATGTATCTCACTCTCACAATATCTCAAGCAGTAAAACTCGAGACGGCTATGCTTGCTTACCTGTCTCTCTGCATTTGATCTCTCGACCTTTCATGAAACAATGACAGGCTCACATGGAGTTGCAGACCAGCATTTTTGTTTTTTTGTCTATTTTGTTCTCTACATCCACAGACCACACATGCATATAAATCCGTATAACAAATTACAGTCCTTAAATTATCCCAAGTGAAACAAAGATCGATACATACAATGAAGTTCAAGCTACGCATATATATACGCATATACGCATACACATACAAAACTGTCTTCTTTGTATGTGTAGAGTGTATGCGTAACTTGAACTCTTTAAGTGGCTACGTTTATAATAATGAGAACAAAAATGGACTATGCACTTCACTAATTAAGCTGCAAAAACTTCCAAAGTAGAGGAAGGTAGAGAGAAGTTTCGTTCCTTACTATTTAAGGACGAGATTTCTAAGTGCCTATATATATTTGCGGCCTCAAGTGTCAAGAATGTCAATTGTGCAAAGGGTTTTAGTGGGTGAAGATCTTCTAGCTACCAAGTTTGCTTACTTAGTTTAGATTTTATGGTCTCTTATTCTGCCTGTTCTTACTGAACTGTGTATGTACACGAGACCCTACTCTTAATTTCAAACTTTCAATATCTGGTATAAGTTGCTTTCACACTACGTACTTGCTTATTATAACATCATTTCGCTTGCGGTTTGCCTAAATAAATCCTGCATATCTTCTCTGAAAACTTCATACTTACATGTTATATATATGGATAATATAAGTAAATTTGGCTTACACCCGTCAAATTCAACTTATCTTATCTGTAACCCTTCACTTTTTTTTCCTATAAATAATACCCAATTTTAATAAGTAAAAAAACCCATAACTAGGATCGAACTCATCAAGTTACCTTATTAAGCTCAATTTTTGATTTATTATAATTTTTGATTGCTAACGGGGTGGTGTTTTAATTTTTGGTTCCCCAATTTCTTGTGGTGATTCCCTCTAAAAATTTTGTTTGCAATTAATTATCCGTTTTATTATTAAAATTCATCAATACAGCCAACAATGTGTTGGCCTGCAGTTTTCCTTATTGCCTTTTTGAAATTTTGTTCCATCTTTTCCGGATAATAATCTACCTATTTTAGAACTTGGATTTCATTTATTGTACCTAGTTTTTTGGTGTATAATAATCTACCTATTATTTTTCTATAAATTATTGTGTATCTATATTTTCTATAAATTATTGTGTACCTATTTCTGTAAAAAATTTCAGTAGATAATATACCTAAATTTTATTTAAATAATACACCTATATTTTTATACTTATATATTTATATTTATATTTTTCATAGGTACAATATTGGATATGTAATTTACGGATTTTTTTTTTGTTTGCAATTTTAGGGGTAAAAACATAGGAATACTATAACCTCTTATATCCTACTGGTCATTTAAATTTGAAATTGGGTTTTACACATAGATTTATAGAGTGATGGATATATGTCTAGGAAATAAAAAATGTAGGGACCTATATTGGACAAGCCGTATCATCATCTACATAATACTTACGTTAACTGAGAATCTGAGATTGATATATATATATATATATATATATATATAGCTCTTATCACATTATCAAGAAAGAACCCTAGCTCTTTTTTACATTCCCAAATATCTGCCTTCCACTCATGATGATGCTTGTCTGTGGAACCCTAGACAGCTTCCGCGAAGCTTCCTTCGTCCTCCATCAATTGAATTAAGCGAATATTATTTGGAATATATGGACACGTACGTAAACATCTTCCCCACATCGTCATCGTTCTCTATCTGGTACTGGTATGCATGATTTTTGTAGATCCTCTATGACATGAGCATGTGAGTTTTATACTAAATTTTAAATTGAGGACGGAATTTTGGTTGTGGGCAGTAATGTGGTGTGCATGTGTGTAGGGACATCTTGCATGAGCTGCAATTTCCGCGAAATTTCCCATATATATTTGTAGGGACGTCTCAGTTAATTTATTTTGTTGGTATATATATATATATTTATATGAGACGTCCGTAAACCACTAGTGTTTTTTCTATGAGACGTATTCCGTATCTTTAGTCTTCAATGAGACTCGTGGACACTGACTTTGTGGTTTAACTGCACATGAATATTCATGATTTGATTTGATTTCATAGAGAAGAAGTTAAGAGAGAGACGTACGATTAGATTTCTACCATGAAAAACACAACCAGTTCTGAAAGACTATTTCTTCTTCGAAAGACGACTGCCACAAAAACTGATATGAAGTAAGATTGCTGAGAGTAGATAGTTCTTATAATGCGGACGGATGGTCCAGAGAAGAAGCGTTTCACATTTGGACTGTGTGCTAGGGTCACATTCACCATATATTTAAAGGCCTTAAGGGTACGTACGTAGTTTGGTTAACCAAGTTCGGTACAAATCACACCAACCAAGGCTTGACAGGACCATTCAACCAAACCTATAAAAATATTGTGGAAGATTTGGTTTGTATATAGCTAGTGGGTAGTGAGTGGAGAGTTTTTTTTTCATGCAGTTAGATTTCTATCTCTATCAAATAAAATAGTCGGCAAGATTGGGAGTACAAGATGAGAAAGAGAACAAAAGTTTTATTATATTCTAAAAGGAGACTGTTAAAGTTAATTGTATTTTATGAGACCCACCGTATCTTAATAGAAGAGGAGATACTTATTGTCCTCAACTTAACCACATACAAAGCCCAGTATATATGAGGTTTTATCACAAAAGACATCGTTGACATTAATAGTAGACTATTCATTATATCTTGTATTTTATTTGGTCAATTTTCCGATATGGGCAGGCACGGACCTATGACTTGTACAACCTGGGCTATAGCCCATGTGAGTTTATTTATTTATTTTTTATAGTTAGTGTTAATGTTAAGGCCATTTAGAGCATAAATATCAATTATATATACTAATTGGATAATTGTTGTAGTCTTACCGTTAGGTGCCGTGTGTCTATCTAACTCTATCTTTGTGATGATAAATTTTCATTTTTGAATCTTCTTATTTGGCCTTATTATACATTTTATTACGACACAAAATAGAATATACATTTTATTACGACACAAAATAGAATATACATTTTATTCCACTAACAAGTTGGACCTGAATATATCTCTACCATTACAGCATGTCTAATGGGACTTAGGTCTAGATCTAGCCTCAAATAAATAAATAAAATTTTAAAAAACACTTTCTAATGCATCTGTTTGGCCCAATCTAGTTTGGCCTAGGACAAGATAAGGGTCTGTTTTAGCCCAAGTGTTGATTTGGGCAAGAATGGGCCCCAAGAAAAAAAAAGTGTCTCTTTTTTTTTTTTTTTGGATGAAAGAAATGGTGGCAAAGTGTGCAACCACTCCGAGCTGGGGAGGGGTTAAGGTTAAAGCTCTCCCCATGAGGTTCTTTACACATGCGGAGCATCGAACGCAGGACCTCACTGAGGAGCCTGCTAACCTTCGGCCAAACATGGTGGACCTAGCCCCAACCACTAGACCAAACCCACATGGGTAAAAGTGTCTCTTTTTTCATTTTGCTCAAAATTGTTGTTCCAGAAACTCGGCCCCATCATTTAGGGTTTAGGGTTGAAATTTTAGAAACCGAAAAAAATAGAAAACAATCCTGAAATTTCAGTTCCTTTCAGCTTCTTCCACTTTTTCGGTGCTCTCCCCTTCTTCTTTGCTTTTCTCCAGTTTTCAATTTTTATGTTGTGTGAACTCAAGCCCCAAAGGAAGGAAGGAAAAGGGAGAAATACGGAGGAGCACAACCACAACGACTCCTCCAGGCCAGTGAGGAGTAGTGCACTGATTCACCCATAGCATCGCCACTCTCTTCGCATCACATCGCTTTGCTCTCTTGTTAGAGGTTTGCCCACTTAATTTGATGCCTTGGATATTTGTGTATGTTGCTTCAGTTTTCTCGCGTAAGATTTGTATATGAATAACCTTTGATTCACTTGGTTGTTTTGGATTGGAGGTATACTCCACATGACAAAGACATGAGTAGCTGTAATAATTGTCAAAGGTTTGAAAAATGGAGCATTTTTGCTCACCACTTTAACCCAAGGTGTACCCTCACCACCCTTCTCAACATTTGACATGTGTCTATTGACATAACCATGGTTGCATAGATACAAAGTAAAGAGTTAACTATGGTTATGCCAAGGGACACATGTCAAGTGTTGAGAAGGGTGATGAGGGTATACCTTGGGTTAAAGCGGTGAAGAAAAATATACCCGTTTGAAAAATCGGCTTAGATAGCCGCTTAGGCTCTTTTTTCGGATGCCTAGGCGCTAGGCGTTAGTAAATAGATAAGGACAATACTTCCCTCCTTACCTTCTATTGTGGCTCAACCACAAAGTGACATGTGTCCTCTCTTTTTTAGACAACTTCTTTTTTCACTTTTACTCAACCCCTAGCTTTTTACCAAAACATACAAAATAAAATTAAAATTAAAATTCTCATTGTTTTTTCCCTTTGTAACATGATCTTATATTGAAAAAAAATCCATGAAGAAACTATGTCTACAAATGTTGTTAGTGGAACTTCGGTTGTAAATGGATTATTAAAGCTAGAGTTGGAAAGGGTTGCAGACTTAAAATTTTGACTGAGGAAGGAAACTTATTATTTTTTAAAATGATTGAGAAAAATCAAAGTGAAAAAAAAAACAATGGGATTTTTTTTCTTTCTATTTTGGTGGAAAGTCAGTAAAAGTGAAAAAAGAATAAGTTGTTTTGACAACTAAAAAAGAGAGAACACATGTCACTTTGTGGGTGAGCCACAATAGAAGGTAAGGAGTAGTTCCTCTTTACAAGTAGGAAGGAAAGTATGGTCCAAGGTAAATTGCTTTGTGGGCCAGTTGTGACCTTAATATGTGGGCTCTGGGTAGATGTCTGACTTGAGCCCTTCCTTATATATGTGATTTCATGAGATTTATATTCATATTATTTTTTGTTTCAAATTTATGATTTCTAATAATATATTGGATATTTCTTTTTTTTTTTTTTTGGTCTAAACCATGAGGTGGTCCTGGATAGGCCCCAACTATGGGTGGCACCTTTAAGCCTTAACCACAACCCAAATTAATCCCCATTCACACCGGGTCGGCCCGTAAGGGTTAAAGTGTTGGCCAAAGTGGTGACTCCGTACGAGAGCAGAGATCGAACCCCTGACCTCTCTTAAGGAATGAGAGTGTCGAACCACTCACACTAACCACCTTGGTTGGATATTTCTCTCTTTTGCTTAGTGTTCCTCCATGCATTTTTCTCTTGGTATTAATATTTCCTCAACATTTTTGAATATTTCAAACATAGAAAAAGAAAAAGCTTGGCAAAAAAAAAAAAAAAAACCCAAGAAAAAGAAAAAGGAAATGTGGTGCAAATAATAAATATGCAAAACGACGCCGTGGCCTAAACAAAAAGGAGAAAATATGACAAGGCGCGCTCGAGTCGAAGCGCAGCTGAAGATGGCGGTTGTTATGTTGATTAAGTAACCATAAACCTCTGGCTATAACCGTCCAATCCCAATCGCCATGCAAAGGTAACTACCATAAACCTCTGGCTATATCCACGGAACCACAACGCATATAGCACAGAAAAGATAACTTATTACGTGCCCAACTATTTTAAGCTCTGAAAACTGCTTTCATAGTTGGTGATTTTAGCCTCAAGTTGATGCTGTTTGGTCTGTGAGAAAGAAATTATGACTTAATATATATGTATGTATGTGGAGAACTATGGAAACTGACGAGGGTTTGGTGGTGTTCGCAGCGTTTCTGAGTACTCACCAACCGGCGTTTCGAATACAAAGAAGCAGATTCCAATGACAATGTAGCAGAAAATAAGAACCAACCCTTTCACATAATGGGAAGTGCCATCCTATAAAAATCAAACATTACAAGACTTGAAATAATATAACTCAATGATCAAGAAAAAACAGGACAGCTAGCAAGTTTCTAATAGGAAGTTATGTTCTGTATGATTGATGTGAACGTTACCTGTAAAGCAAAGGCTGTGGTGATCACTGCTAGAGCAAGAGACACTGTTTCAATGAGACCGAAGTTAAGATCCATGTTGATGCCCATTATCCAAGCAACAACGACGCAGCACGGGACCTGAGTCATCACACAATTAGAAAAAATGTTCATGTTAAGGCATGGATTTTTCATAATAATTCAATTTGGATAGAGAACTGCAAGGCCTGCAGTAATTCAGCTTTGATAATCCGTACGAACCACGAACATGGCGACCTGAGTTGCAGACCCTAAAGAGACTCCTAATGATATGTCCTGCATTTGTGCAAAACAGAAAATATAAAGTTGGTTATAAGTTCCCAAATGAAAAGAACTGGATTTTCCAATTTGCCATTAGTTTTGAATAAGAAAAGGCCACTATATTATCATTTCTCACCAACTTGTTCTTGAAAGCAAAAATGATTGATCCTGCGTGCTCAGCTGCATTCCCAAGAATTGGTACCAAGATGAGGCTGAGGAAGCTGAAAGACAAACCCCAAGATTTTGATGCATCCTAATACAATCAAGAATTTCAGTGAATTGCTTTCTGTTTAGAAAATTAACAATCCACTCAAGAACATAGTGTACTAATTACCTCAATTGTGCCCACAACATACTCAGACAACAAAGCTGTGATGGCAGTGACAGCAAACAGCCAAGCAAATCCACTCCAGAAACCTATCTCAGCCACTTCTTCAACATCCTCATCACCATCAACTTCTGGTACCTGACCAGTTGCATTATTATAGTTCCTTAGCTGAGCTCTAGTATTTATTTGCTTGGTTTTTGGGAATGGAAGCACAGAAAAGTCAAGCTTAATGCATATATCAATCAATTGCTTTAAATAAACTCTGTTTATTTTTGGGGTGCTTCAATCTCATGGACAGGTTAGAAATGAAGACTTGCATGATAGTTGAGCACATGTCTGCATATTTGTTTTCTTACTTCTCTTACTGCATATATAACTAGATGAATGCTTTTCTTGTATGACTACTTGTATTGCAGAACATTGTTCCCAATGCACTACTGAAAGAAGGTTTGGAAGCATGAAAATGAAATTAACATTGCAGCCAAAACCTTAGGATAATTACTTGCTGCAATTCGAAAAATCCGCGGTGAGTCCACAACTGGAAGAACATGAATGCAATATAAGAAAGTAGCATTAGGATACTAATGGCCCTTGAGAATTGGAGTGTTTGGTCTTTTGTTGCAGCAGAGTTCCCAGCATATTGAAGCAGCATTGGGAGCGTGTGGCAGAATGTTCCTAGAAGTAGAAGGAGAGAGTTCACATTGGCCTGTCTCTGATGAAACAATGCCCATATAAATTAAGGTATGAAGAAACATAGTTTAGATGATTAAAAGGGAAGTTAACATATGAAATTATATAATGCAAATTGAGCTTGGGTTATGATTAGGGACTTACTCTTTCAAATTTTTGCTCCCTTCTGAGGTTAGCAAGACCACCACAGAAAAGAGAGGTCCCAAGGACCAAAAGAAGGTTAGAAAGAACTGAACCCAAGAGAGAATACTTGAGCAAGGCTACTTTTCCTTGACTTAGAGCAGATATTGCTATAATCAGCTCTGTGGCATTACCAAATGTTGCATTTAGAAGCCCTCCCACTGCACAAACCAGATAAAAAGTGAGCCTTCAGTCCCATTCTGAAGCAACCTTTAAGTAATTGAAAGCATTCTAACAAGTAAAATGAAAACAATTTACCTGTTGGACCAGTGAAGTATGATATTTGTCTGCAATTTTAAGTACAATGATTAATGTAAGAAAAATTTGAAGAAGGATAATTGATTGTGTTTTTGTGTGCCTTACTCTGTGAGAAAACTGATGCGCTCAGCAAGTAAGGTTAATGCAAGTAAGCTCAGAGTGAAAATCCAGGGCTGTCAAAGGAAAAATAAAGAAAAGGCTTACAAGGATCAGTCATCTAAATTCAGATTTTTTATATTATTTTCTATTGTATACTATATTTCTTATTAAAATATGAAAGCAAACAATCACCTTTCCAAAGCCATAGTACACAGCAAAAATGGACAGAGGAATGGTGGGAAGGAGAACCGAAAGCTTGGTCCCCAGAAGAACAACCTGAAGATTAACAAGCCACTCCCTGAGATGTCCATTTTGAACACTGTTTGGCAGTGCAGGATCCGACTTCTTGCGCAATGCAGAAGCCGACAATTGTCTAGCGGTCCTGCCATGGTGCACTTCTTCCTCACTGCTTGTGCCATTTTCCAAGAGGCATTCTTGGTTGGAAGCCATAGTCGGTGTCACAGCCAAAAAAAATGCTGACTTTTTTTGTTCAGCTACTTTTATTCACAGAAACAGCTTTGGCCCTTGGCATTAACTTTTCATTGATTGTATATATGGAATTTATATCTGTGGGGTTTGGTAAAATATCAGCTTGGTAAGATGATAAAACCAAACGCAAAGAGTTACTATAATTTGGCAAATATACCCAATGAAGCATAAACCAATTAAGCTAATTGCAATCAATTTAAATTAATCAAGCTAATTTCCTGGTAACCACAATCAATTAAGGGTCAAATTAACTACAGTATATATATTAAGTAGAAATCTTGCCACCCACCAAGCTCAAACTGGGGTTTGATGAGGAAATGCCAAACAGGAAGTGTCCTGTTGAATTACAATTCATCTGAGCAATGAAAGCAGGGCACGTATTGCCATGCATGGTAGCCAGATGTGGACATGATTTACCAGGCACAGAGAGAAAAAGACCATATTTCCATTTCAGAGAATCAAAGAAGAACTAGAAGTTGAAACTGATAAGGAAAGGCTACAAGAACAACCGACAGAACAAGTTACCAAGTACCAACCAACACCATTGGTTTAATGTGGAGGTGTTTCATGTGCCATGCATCTGATTGAAATTGTTGCCTTTGTGTGTGACATATCATGTAAAGAAAACACGTAAATTTCTTAAATAGTCCTAAACAAACAAAAGTATTTGTTTTTTTTATTTTTTATTTAATCAATTAGAAGAAACAAATTAAACTTTAAAATAAAATAAAAAACAAATGTTAATCCACTTACCTTCTGCCACCGCCGTCTCCCTTGTGTTTTAGGCAATTTTGATAGTTGTTTCAGATTCCCATTCTAACTTGGTAATGGCCTCCGCCATAATCTCTATGCTTTTTGGTTGATTACTTGATTTGTTGGTGATAACTTGGTTGATTAAGATTAACTAATTTTGGGTGCTTTTGCTTGAATATCGTTTCATAGAGACTATTATCCATCCATCCATCTATTAGTAATTTAGTAATAGATGGATATTCTAGGAAAACCCTTCATGCTCCCTTCCCGCTCATTCATTCAGATGAACAAAAACCATTTTCAAACAAAATTCGCTTACAAAATTAAAAAAAAAATTAAGAATGATACAACTGCAGATAAATCAATTCTTGAATGGCTACTTCTCGACCAAATGTAGCTTCTAAATATTCTCTATTTGGTCGCCATTGGTGGTTGTTTCTCTTGGTTTGATGCAATATACACGAGATCCCAGATGCTTTACTTCAAGACCAGCATCTTCACAACCAGAGAAGAAGAGTGATTCATCCTCTTTCCCAATTCTGCGTCTCCAACTCATTAGAAATGCAGGCCGGGGCAAACTGAATGATTGTCCTGTGAGCAAGAGGTAAATACAAATGAGCACAGTTTTAACATCTACTACATGAATTCAGACAAATTTGCCAGCATATTACCGCAACTCTGCTCATCACTTGCTTGAGGCCGGGCTTTATTATCCTTCGGCTTGTAAGATTTGAGGAGAAACAAAAGGGTTTTTATCAAATTTGCATACTGCTTCACATCTGCACGCACTCAAGTGAAAAAAGGATAGTTAGCAACTTAGCATACGGTTTTATGTGCAGCTCCAAGGACAACGTTTAGAAGAAGTATATTTGAAGCACGTTGGTGAGAAACTTACACAACAATATATCACTAGCAATAATCAGGTCCCAGTCTGGATCAGCAGTAGAGAAAGTGTCACCCCAGGTATCTGAAAATCAATTAGAAGTCCACTAAATTAACTTCTTCGGCACAGCAAATCAAAGTTCAAACATATGTATGGTATAATATGAAATGAAGGATGACATACGCTTTATATGAGGAAGGACAGGTGCAATTCCATTTACCCTGCAGTTATGAGCTATATTTTCTTCAATTTCCTGATCATTATAGTCTGATGTAGTGATGTCAAGATTAAGCAATCTTCGTAGAAAAATGGCCAAAGCACCAGTGCCACTGCCAATCAGTAGACAAATCAACATCATCAGGGCAACTATCAATATCAATCAGACTCAAAATTTATATCAAACATATGTCTGGTATAAGATGAAATGAAGGATACTGGAAAAGCATAAACTAAAAATTAACTCCAATTCCACAAATGTTTTCCCGAGAAGTTATTCTAACTACACAGTACAGATGCCAGGCGTTTGCATCTTACCAACTCCCGGAGATAAACAAACTTCTAGATAGTAGAATGATGTTCAGCTTAAGAACAACATAAGCAAGGTTTTGCCCCATGTGAAAAAAAGTATCCATGTGATGCAATCACTACTCATGATCCCCAAAATCACTAAAAGTGGGACAAGCAAGAAAAAGAAAAGCATTCCAGTATTCTTGTGATGCAAAGATGGATGTGGCATAGTTGAGAAATACCTGCCCAGTTCAAGACAATGCCGTCCTTCAATTGATGGCCTGTGTTCAACTAACCATTCTGCAAATGCAAATGTCCCAGGCCAGAGTAAATTGGCATTCAACTGATGAAACGAAAATTCTCGGATGACCAACTCCTGAAACAAACCAAGTTACATAAATTGGTTTAAAGAACTTGAAACTATAAAGAAGCAATCAAAAACCAGGCCAATACTAAAAGTAAAAAACCAAAACAACCTCTTGGGATGTTCAATGAAAGGTCAAAACAACTCTAGTAAAAAGCAGCTACTACTCTCTGAAGTGACTGAACCTAAGTATCCGATTGTACGGAATTGAACCAATATATGCTTTTGATTTATCCATTGACATATGCTACAAAACCATTTGCTTATCACCATCCACAGAACTTTAATACGAAAACTTAGAAATTCAAACATTCAAGCTCAGAAACAGAAAAAATTTGATTTCAAATAGGGAACAAATAAAAAAGAAGAAATGTGACAAAACAAACTTGGAAAGAGCAAATGTGAATAAATAAATATATAAAAAGGACCACATTAACAAATTAACAAGGGATTAACAGTTATAACCAGTGAAAGACAAATTTACGTTTCTGGGTATTGACAAATAAAGGAATAGACTTACCATCCCCGGAAACTTGTGCCTCCTCTCGACGTAGCTTTGCTGGGTCTCTGTGTCTTCCTCACCTGCAAATAAGGCCAAGCCAAGTCAGTATATTTTCACCATATCAGCTAAAATTGGGAGCTCCTTGGAGAGAGAGAGAGTACTACTGGAAGTGTCCCTCGTCATGGAAAAGTGAAGATGGGGAAAAGAGAGCTATGTCCATCGTCTTCTTCTTGCTCAGAAACAGAAGCTAGGAGGAGGCAACCCTACTCGGGATCGGAGGAGAGAAAAAAAAAACAAGTATTGAAAATTAAACTTCTGCCCCAAAACAATAGTAAAATATCATAACCAACCCCAGTATTTTGAATATGTTCTTTTTCTTCTTGTAATTTCAGGAAAGCATTCGTAAGTCCCCACTAGTTTTAAAAAATTATCCCAATGACCCAATAAAGTTTGTCATTTATGCTAATTATTGATACAGAAGAGTTGTAAATTATTTAGCGTAATTACAAAATAGGTTTTTTTTCAATCCTTTCGAGGGATACAAAAATAGGTTTTTATTCTTTCATAAACTTTGGATAACATAGAATTGGAATCTTTTTCTCTTCCTTTTTTGTTTTGACATCAAACAAACCTAATAGAATTAAATAAAACAATGAAAATGACCCGAAAAAAGTAATATAAAAATGATTCTTGTCATTAGCAATGAAGTTACAAGAAAATTACAAGTTATTTCGATGATGAATTGTTACACTATGAAATTACCCAGTTGACCAAAGTGGCAAAAGAGTGTTTGATATGTTTTGTGGTTTTCTTTGTAAATTCAATAGAACCACACCTAACTCGTCGACCATGACGTGGTCTATATATAAGTCTGTGCTCGTCGTCATTGGGGATTGCATCAAGCAACACAAAGAATCCAGGTGAGAGACAAATACCTAAGCTTATCCTCCAAACTGTGTTTTTGAGAGAGAGAGAGAGAGAGAGAGAGAGAGAGAGAGAGA